CCTCGTCGAGTCGCTGCGGTGAGCATGTCCAAACGTGTGGCTCAGGAGCTGGGTGATCACCAAGACAGGGTCGCGTATCAGATCCGCTTCGAGGGCACAACATCGAGCAAAACGGCCGTCAAGTTCATGACCGATGGTGTGTTGTTGCGAGAGATGGCGCAGGATTTCTCCCTGAAGAAGTACTCGGCCATCATTATCGACGAAGCCCACGAGCGAAGCGTCAACACGGATATCCTGATTGGTATGCTCAGCCGTATCAACAACATCCGCAAGGGCGAGGACAAGGTCGATCCCAATATCAAGCCGCTCAAGATCATCATCATGTCTGCGACGCTGAGAGTGGAAGACATGACGAACAACGCGACACTATTCCCGACGCCGCCCCCTGTTGTTGAGGTGGAGGGCCGTCAACACCCTGTCACGATACACTTTACCCGTCGCACGCAGTCTGACTACGTTGACGAGGCCTACAAGAAGATTATGCGAGGTCACAAGAAGCTGCCACCCGGTGCCTTCCTCGTCTTTCTCACAGGTCAGAACGAGATTATGCACTTGAGCAAGAAATTGCGGGCTGCGTTCGGCGGTTTTACGGGAGCGAGTGCCCCTAAGGTTCAGATCTCTGCCACCGAAGCCCCTATGGAAGTGGAAGACATCGACTTTGGCGAGGTTGAGGACGGAGACTTTGGCGAAATCGATGACGAGGTCGACGACGACGGAATGGAAGATGAGGACGACAAGGAGTTTGAGATCGAAGGAGAGGAAGGAGAAACAGGGCCCCTCAAGATGCAGGTTTTGCCCCTCTACTCCCTTCTGCCGACCAGAGAACAGATGAGAGTCTTCGAGGAGCCCCCAGAAAACACCCGTCAAATCATTCTCGCGACCAACGTCGCCGAGACCAGTTTGACAATCCCCGGAATCCGCTACGTCTTCGACTGCGGTCGCGCCAAGGAGCGTCAATACGACCGCCTCAGCGGCGTCCAGACCTACGAGATTGGCTGGATCAGCAAGGCCAGCGCAAGCCAGCGAGCCGGTCGTGCCGGCCGTACCGGCCCCGGCCACTGCTACAGGCTCTACTCCTCGGCCGTCTACGAGCGCGACCTCCCCGAGTTCACAGATCCCGAAATCCTCCGCATGCCTGTCGACGGCGTCGTCCTCCAGCTCAAGTCCATGAACCTCTCCAACGTTGTCAACTTCCCCTTTCCCACCCCGCCAGACCGCATGGGTCTGCGCAAGGCGGAGAAGCTCCTCACATATCTCTCTGCCATCACACCAGAGGGCCAGGTCACGCGCATCGGATCGACCATGTCCATCTTCCCGCTCTCGCCGCGCTTCGCGCGTATTCTCCTTGTCGGCCACCAGCACGACTGCCTCCCTTACACAATCATGATGGTCGCCGCTCTGTCCGCGGCAGAGATCTTTGTCCCGGAACACCAGGCCATCCCCGCGCTCGCGGCAAAGGGCGACGACGAGTTCCGCACCAACGCAGACATGCTTGCCGAGGACCGCCAGGCCCAGATCCGCCGCGCCTTCAACGCCGCCCACAAGAAGTTCTGCTACCTCGACGACCGCGCCGACGCCATCAAGCTGCTGCAGGTCATCGGCGAGTACGCCCACGAGCCGACGGAGCAGTGGTGTGAGAGCCATTTTGTGCGGCACAAGGTCATGAAGGAAATCACGCAGCTACGCAGCCAAATCACAGAGCTCCTGCGCGCCAACATCCCGGCATTCAAGAACCTCAAGTATCAGGACAAGCTGGACGCGCCGTCAGACAAGCAGGTCGCGTACCTGAAGCAGATGGTGGCCGCGGGCTTCATCGACCAGGTCGCCCTCCGCGCCGACAAGTCTCCGATACCCCCCGAGATGGGCCGCAAGCCGCGCCGCGCGATCGACGTGCCGTACATTCCCCTCTCGCCGCTCGGCGTGGGCCACGACGCAGAGAAGTTCGTCTACCTCCACCCATCGTCGCCGATGTCACATCTCAGCCCCGCGGAGTGTCCCGAGTGGGTGGTGTACTCGCACCTGCAGCGCGCGACGCAGGGCGACCCGGGGAAGACGCCCAAGACGAGGATGCACACGCTCACGGACGTTACGGGAGGGCAGCTGGCGAGCCTCGCCAAGGGCACGCCGCTCGTGAGCTACGGCAAGCCGGTGAAGGAGATCAGTTCGACGGCGAGCACGAGGGAGGTGTGGGTTGTGCCGTATCTCCGCGCCGAAGGTGTGGGTGGGCAGGGGTGGCCTTTGCCGATGAAGAAGGTTACGCAGCGCAAGGTTGCTGGGAAGGGGTGGGTTGTTGAATAAGGCGTTGGGGAACTATGGGGTAAACAAAAAAGTAATTACTGGTGAATTTGGGTTTTGAGCTTGAGAATAGACGGAGGGTTCCGTACTCACGGCGTTCAACTGCAGATCCCGTCGTTTGTGCAAGACATTCAACTTGGACGAAGTCGTCATCAACTAGCTATGACAACCAACCGCCCTTCCGTGCTTGTTCCAGAAAACGTTCTCCGCGGGAGTCATGACTTGTTTCAACCGGAAATGTCCCCACACGGCGTCGATGTACATCAAACCCGGATACGACGAATTGTGCGATCCGCGGGCACGTTATCCGTGCGAACCCGTTTCTATGCATATAACTCTGCACACGTGGTTGGCACAGAGAGCAGGGACATCAGCCCAGACTTTTTGGAATTACTGAGGCCGGCCTGCCCTTTTTGCGTGTAGAGCTACGTGTTCCCTCGCTCGGTATTCTGCCCCATGGAGCAAATTGAAGGGAACTTCGGACGAAGGAGGAGCTCCCCAAGCGGGCTGTGGCAGCAAGGGAAGGCCGTGCCGGCCCGAGCGAAGAATTCGCGAGCTTTTCTAGATTGAGTTGAATTGAGTTCCACAGAAGATTACGAGAGGTTCGGCGGGAAGGTGCGCTCAGGTGTATGTGCGTGTGGTGTGTACGTGTGCTGACGCTGACTCTGCGGTTTACTTTTTTGAGTCAACTTTGCCCGTGACTTTTGGGCTGGAGCTGGTTGTCCACTTACATGCCGTCTGGATAATATCTGCATCACAGGATCGTCATTCTGTGCAGATCACCCGCGTGTGATATTTGTGGCATGAAACCATTGTTGAACACTTCGACGAGCTCGACAGGAAAGATTCCATGATTGGCAGGGCAAAGATGTCGCTTTTTGAGGGCGTCGCCGTCGTGACGGGAGCCGCGTCCGGTATGTCACCCGTATAACTGCCCCCAGCTCGCATGCATCATGCAGCTCGTCTCAAGTGACGATCCAAAGACAACAAAACATAATGCAGCTCGTTTAGCTTACAATCCTAGGTATCGGACGCCAGGTCGCAGTCTCCTTTGCGCGGGAAGGCTGCAAACGCATCGCCCTTCTCGATAAAGATGAAGAAGGCCTTTCTGAGACGTCCCGCCGGTGTCGAGAAGCCAACGGCGACACGCGCACGTTTGTCATTGAAATCGACAACTGCAACGAGGATGACGTCTCTGCCGGAATGGAGTATGTGACTGAGGAATGGGGACGGATCGACTACGCTGTCAACTGTGCCGGTGAGTTCTTGCTTTTTTCCACAGTATGGGGCATTCATCGAGGGGAGAATCTGAACGTTACCAGGCATGTTCGGCCCAAAAGCTCCGTCGCATCTTCTCACGACGGCTGAATTCGACGAGATCACGACCACGAACTACCGTGGGACCTGGTTGTGCTCCAAGGCAGAGCTGTCTCAGATGATCAAGCAAGAACCGCTCAAGACTCACGACGGCAGACCAGGTAATAGGGGAGTGATTGTCAATGTTGCCAGCAACCTTAGTCTGGTGAGCCGACCAGAAACTCGTGAGATATTCAGTCCTAGTTCATATGGCGGACTTCTGACGCGTCTTGCAGCCGCTTATAGTGCCTCCAAGGCAGCTATACTGAGTCTCACCAAGAGTGATGCTGTTGATGTGAGTTTTATTACACTTCCTACAAGGGAAAAGGCTAAGAGCGGACAGTATGCAAAGTACAACATCAGAATCAACTGTGTCTGCCCCGGAATTATTGAGTAAGTCTACCAAACTCACAGCGCTCAATGCCGGGATGCTAACGACGACAGCACCCCGATGACAAGTGAGGTCTCTACAGACGACCCCATTATTGCAGTAGCACCCATGAAGCGTAAGGGAACGCCCCAAGAAGTCGCCGATGCAGTTTTGTTTCTTTGCAGCTCCAAGGCAACGTTCATCCACGGCGCCGCGCTTTCGGTAGACGGAGGGTATGTCATTAACTAAGACGCTGAGAAAAGAATTTGAAAGACGGCACGGCAGCTGTTTACGTGAAGATATAGCATCAGATGGGAGTCCGGTAAGGAAAAGTAGGCATGGCAGCTGAGAAAGGACCTAGGAGAGATGACAATTCAAAGGAATTTCTAAGCTTGAGACAAAAATCACTAGATGAGAAGGAGTTAGCTGTCCGTTATCATGTCTATTCAATCCATTTCATAGGAGGAAGCCCTTACATCTCACCCCTTCCTCGACCGCCAGGTCCAGGACGTCTTTAGGACAGCAGCCAGTCGTTTCCGGGGTTCGATCGTCAAACATTGAACTGAGAGGTTTTGTTTTTCTATCTTTCAATTACGTCGAATTATTATCTGGGGAAAAAGCTCACCGGTGATATGAAGCTTTTGTGTTCCTGATGTATTTCTTACGCTAGCGTGTAAGACTAGATAGAATTGAGGGTTCCCCTCCCAGAGAACGTGGACTACAAGCCATTCCCAGCAATGATGTAAAGTTGGCTAAAGCAATTAATAATGTTGTTTTTTCTCAGTATTTTCAGTTTGAAGTTTGAATGCAACAATCATTGCTCACCGGATCAGCTTGCTAATCTGACGCGAAACACCGCCCACCACCAATGTGTCCGAAAAGTCTCCACGCCCGCTAATGATCATGACTATATCTCCCTCCCCCTCTCGTCAAAATCCCAAGCCAGACTCAATAACAAACCAATCAATACACCAGCAACATGACAACACCAGCCCCAAAGATCCTCATCGTAGGCGCAACAGGCCGCACCGGCACCGCAACCATCTCCGCCCTCCTCGCCCACCCAAACCCACCCCAGATCTTCGCCCTCACCCGCTCCCCCTCCTCCCCCAAAGCTCAAGCCCTCCTGACCTCCCACCCGTTCATAACCCTCGTCCAAGGCGAACCAACATCCCCAGCGCCAATCTTCGCCTCCCACGCAGACATCTCCGCCGTCTACCTCGTCACCGTCCCGCCCGCAGACGAAGCGCAAGCCATCCCCCTCATCGACGCCAGCATAGCCGCCCGCGTCCCGCACATCGTCTTCACAAGCGTCGACCGCGGCGGCGACGAAAAGTCCTGGGAAACCCCGACCGACGTGCCGCACTTCGCGGCCAAGCACCGCGTGGAGCTCCACCTGCGCGACACGGCCGCCGAGACGGGGACGCGGTGGACGGTGCTGCGGCCGTCCGGGTTCATGGACCAGTACCTCCCCGGCGCGGGGGCGATGGGGGCCGTGATGGGCGGGTTGTGGGCCACGATGCCGCGGGACAGGAAGCTGCAGCTCGTAAGCGCGCGGGATATTGGAGTCTTTGCTGCCAGAGCGCTGATGGAGGGGCCTGATGGTTGGGGAGGCAGGGCGATTGCTTTGGCGGGCGATGAGATCAGCTTCGCGGAGGCGGAGGAGACGTTTGAGAAGGTTGTAGGCAGGGCGATGCCGCAGACGTGGACGGTTGTCGGGCGTGCTGTGCGCTGGGCCGTCGAGGATGCGGGGAGGAGTATGGACGGGTTTGAGAAGGAGGGTTACAAAGCTGATGTCGAGAAGTTAAGGGAACTGGAGCCTGGCTTGCAGACCTGGGAGATGTGGTTGAGAGAAAGTAGTGGGTGGGTGAAAGGAGACTGAGGAGCTGGGAGCCGGGAGCTGCGCCTGAAATCCATGACCGAATAGTCGATTTGTATATATGTAAAAAGCCATCGCGAGCGCAAGAAATAGTCACAATCTGAACCGTTCATGTAGTAGCCGGTAACGTGATTTGATCACTCTATAACCAAAAAGGGGTATCATCACACTCAAACGCCAAAACCAATGCCACGTCTGGACCGCCCCGCCACCTATGACGGAGCAGGCGTCGTACCCGGCGTCGCAATCTTGCTTTTCTTCCTCTTGGGCTTCGGCATGCTCGGCGTCTTGGGGCTCTTCTCCCCCTTGCCGTCCTTCTTCGCCTCCTCCGCCAGCTTCGTGTTGATGCCAGGCTTCTGCGGCTTCTGGGACGCCACCGGCGGCGGCGGCGGCACGATTTTGCTGTTGTCCTTGCGCCCCGTGCTCGCGAAGTGGAAGTCGCCGGGCCTGCCCGTGATGGGGTTCTCGTCAAAGTAGTCCCCGCCGTGGCGCATGTGAATCGCGAAGGATTCCTCTGCCAGCCTGTCCAGCGCGGCGGCCTCGGTTTCCTTCTTGTTGTTCGTGGACTTTGCGGCGGCCCCGTTGGAGGCGCTGCCGCCGTCGGGCATTGGCGTGCTGGCTGCTGCATCTTCCTTGTTCTTGGAGAGGTTGGTCGTGGGTTGCGTGTAGACGTGGCCCAGGGAGGGCGTCCACTTTCGCACGCTGTCGGCGGCGGGCAAGACTTTGCGCATCGAGTCTGCTATCGTTTCCTGTCCCCCAGTCAGCGTTTGTTCCTTGGCGCGGTGGGAGCTCTCTGCGACCTACGATTTTGGAGCTCAGGATGTCACCCAGCGTGGGCGCCTGGTAGATATTCTCGTTGCAGACGAAGTAGTACGCCAACGGCTTCGTCTCTATCCTGTTTCTCTCCGGGTTCTTCTGTCGCATCTGCTTCACGATCACCCACACGCCCGTGCCCGTGACCATGTCGGCAGGCGCGTGGAGGACGCGGAACTCCAGCCCCGTCATCTTGTCGAGCTCGCCCTCGAAGGCCTCGCGGGTGGACAGGTTTCTGAGAAGGGCCGGGTTGAACATGGCCTGGTTCGTAATCACGGCATTGTTGGACTGGCGGTCGAAGAAGGGCGACTCGGCGAAGTAGAAGAGAACGCTGTTGGAGTGTATGCCCTGCATGCCGGCCGCGATGAAGGGAGAGCTCCATTGGATCTCGTCCAGGGGAGGACCAGCCGGGTTCGCCATTTTCGAATTGGTGTAGCTGTTGTTGCGCGAGACAGTTCCGAGGTGATGCGGCGTAGGGACGGGAGTGGTGAGGTTGTTGAATGTGGGAACTGGTCCGCGGAGCTGGCAGAGCCGCAGTGTGCACGGAAGACGGGAGCTCTTTTGTATCGTGGGGCCGGAGCTTGTTGGAATTGAACCTGCAGGGAAAGCGGCAGGCACCTGACAGGGGTTATTTTTGCGGGACGGAACGGCGCCATCACGTGAGACACATGCCTGCCGGTCCGACCTCCCGGGTCAGAGACTAAATCATCGACAAACAACTGCCAGACAAACACTTATCCCAATCTGCCCTCGACCTTCACATACAACGATCGACTGCCAATAAAACCAACCTCAAAATGGACCTCCTCTCGAGTGTCCGCAAATCAGGCTCCCGCGGCGGCGTCAACTTCTCCTGGGACGAGGTCGCCAACTCCAACCACCGCGAAAACTACCTCGGCCACAGCCTCAAGGCCCCCGTCGGCCGCTGGCAAAAGGGCCGCGACCTGAACTGGTACGCCAAGGCCGACGACGATGCCAACGCTGGCGACAGCAACGAGACCCCCGAGGAGCGACAGGAGCGCGAGCGCCGCGAGGAGGTGCGCAAGATCAAGGAGGCCGAGGAGGACGCGCTTGCACGCGCGCTGGGCCTGCCCGTCCCGCAACGTGACACGTCGGGCGCGAACGCGGTGGAGGTCAGCGGGTCGAGGGGCATTGGCGCTGCGCCAGCACCGGAGCCGCAGCAGGAGCAGAAGGGCGAGCTTGTGGTCAAGGAGAAGAGGGAACGAAGGGACCGAGGAGATCGAGGCGACAGGGATAGAGGTGAAGACCGGGAGCGGAGACGACGACACCGGAGTCGCAGCCCGAGACGGGAGAGAAGGAGAGATGACGAGAGGAGGCGGAGCCGTGAGAGGGGCGGAGACGAGCGACGGAGGAGAGAGCGGGACGGCGATAGGGACAGGGACGGCGAGCGACCCAGGGATCGTGATGAGGATCGGGAGAGGCGGCACCGCAGGAGAAGTCGGAGCCAGGAGCGCGAGCGGAAGGAGCACCGACGGAGGAGCAGAAGCAGAGAACATCGGCACAGGGATCGAAGGCGCAGCCCTGATGAACGCCGTTAAGCTTTTGGTCTTCTAAGAAACTTGCATGATACCCTACTATTGTCTTATAGCGAGTGCACGACTGCAAAAAACACGCACGACTAAGATTGCAGCATAATCATCTCATTGCTCTCACAACGCTCTATGCCCTGTTTACTATTCGTGCATGCAAATATTTGGGTCCTATACCCCAAGTCAGAGCTGGTATCTTTCATCGTACTATATCAACGCCAAACTCCAATAGCACCACATTTTACAAGCTGAACGATCCGACATAGTACTGTCAAATATTAGCAAGTTGCCAGTACCGCATGAATCACAATCTTACCGTGAGGACCGCCTCATCCGCGCCCGCATCGTCATACTGCGGTACATAGACGTAAAGAATGAGAGCGTGCTCATCCGCAAAAGCAGCAACAACTCTCCCTTCAAGTCTACCCACACTCAACACTCTACTCCAATCCTTGCCGTCTACTCTCACAGTCGCCCACTTATCTGGGCCAGCCTCCTTGAACTTGACACTAGGGTGCTCTTCAAGGGGCATATCGATCTGCGCCGCGTCCAGCTCCGGATTCACCAGACCGCTCCACGTCGTAGACACGTTCACGCTCTCAGTAACAATTCGTAACCGCAGGCTTCCAAACATGTTGGCGCTCAGCTCAAGCTTGGGTCCCGCGCGGGAGGTACCTGACGACGTAGCCAGCTTTGTAAACCTGTCGGAGATGGCCTTGAGCTGGAGCAGAGGCGGCATCGTGATGTGAACATCCGTCTCGCGCACCGTGGGCTGCATGATGGTCTCGACCGTCTCCGGGTGCAGGACGCGCACGGGGATGTCCTGGGTGATGATCTTCTCCCTCTCATGGCGCAGAGACGTCAGGTGTTCCGGCATGAAGCCCTCATCGTCGTCAAAGGGGTCGTTCTCGAGCCCCGCGTAAGCTGCACTGCGGCCTGCCCCGGAAGTACTTGTGGTTGTGGTGATGGTCATCGACAGCACAGGAACGCCATCCTTCTTAGTTAAGCGCAGTGAGGCCGACGTGCTGTAAAGAGCGGACCTCAGCGCGCGCTGGAGCAGTGCCAGTGGCAGCTCTAGGTTGATGGTGTTGTGCTCCTCCGCAGACTGGATGTGATAGCTGTCGAAGATGAAGTCCATGGGCAGGGTTCTGGGGGGCAACACAGGGGTCGGTTAGTCAGTCAAGCTCAGATGCCGTGATACTGTAAACGAATGCGAGTTTTGAGCTTACGACCAGACTTGAGACCCGGTGTCGGGAATAACAGTGAAGCGTGCCGTGTCATCGTCGAGTCGCACCCAGGCGATTTTCTCCAGTGAGCTGAGAGCGGCGGTAAACTCTAGATGGGATGATGTCAGCGGTGGTTTCCATAACGCGAAGGGGCGAGTGGACGCACTGGAGAAGGTACGGATATTCTTCAACTCCGTCTTGAACCGCATATTTGAGGAGGGAGGCGATAGGCCCAGGCCGATCGATTAATGCAATGGCAAGGGCGTTACAGAAAATAAAAAAACAAGGCCTATGATGAATGACAAGGCAGGGTCGCAGGCGAGGTATGTTGGTCGCAGGAAGCTAGCTAGTTGCCGCTTTGGGGTGAGGGTTGGGGGAACGCGTAAAGTGGTGAGAAAAGACGCGATCCGCGCCCCCTTCCCCAAGTGCCGTGCGGATAGTGCTGGGCCACAGTACACAGCTGGCGACCTGCCATTCCATGGATGCTGCTGCGTGCCAGCGCGGGTGGCGCTAGGGGCCCCCATGGTGAGGATAGCGGATGCCTGCAGGCCATGCCGGTCCACTGCAGCACGGAACTCTCTAGCGCGGGGTAGGCCCCGGTTAGCGGGGCCAGATTGGGAAGCCTCACCCCATTCACAGTTCGCGCCTACCCCGCCATCACCTGAGGTCCGCAGCTTGAGCGAGCGATGTAGCTGGTTTTCCGAGTCGGCCACTTGGACAATACCGAGCGCCTTCATAGCTTTTTGCTCGAGTCGAGGAGGGATGCCGGAAAATCGGATGTCAGTGACGTTGCTTGGTGTGCATGCGGTGTGATGGGGGGCAGGGAAGATGGGAAAAGATGAGGCAAGTCTAGCCCTTTTGCTCGGCGAGTCTTGCTGGGCTCGGCGTGTATTAGTCTGTCAGTCCGAATACTTGGGAGAATGAGTTGAAGGCCACAACAGAAACAGGATACTGGAGGCGACGAAGCAAAGAACGAGGGATGATAGATCAAAGTCAGAAACTGCTCGGTGACTGTGAAGTTGATAAACAGAATAGGAAAGGTTGTTCAATATCAAGAGTTTACCAAAAGCTCACTCGTAAAACAAGACCAATGAAATAAGTTAAACATCATAATATAAACCTTTAGAATTTCTCTGCTGATTGATAAGGTATGGACAAATGAAATCCGGCTGCTGTACCATCTGCTGTTCCGTATAGCCTCTGAGGCTTTCCCGTTCGTCATGCTCCTAAACAAAATGTCTCCTTGCCCGCGTAATTGAAGCGTGGCCGACAACCAAAAATCGAGGCCACCGACATGATGCTCAACCATAGTCATCCGCTGAAAATGCCGTCGTCTCTCCTAAATCGACATTGGAGGATCAGTGACAATGTCCGTCCCGCAGCTCGCGTTATCGTTTACTCATTCGCCGTTGTA